GTCGCCGGGAAGCACAGCCTGGCCCAGCAGGTTACTGCATGTCAAACATTTCAGGCATTTTCTCTGCATGTGTGCCTGCTTTCCCGGCAGGCCAGGGGTCCCAGCATTGTGCAGATCAGGCCAACGAGCACTGCTGAGCTACTGGGCAAGGGCATGCCTGGAAGGTAGGGGCACTGGCCCTCGTGTCCCCCAAAGGCAGAGAGGTTAGAGGGGGGCCTTCCAGGCAGGGGAACAGCAGGGCAAAGGCCTGCAGCAGGGCAAAGGCCTGCAGGTCGTCACGAGGAATTGAAGGTTAGTGTGGAAAAAAGCTGCATCAAATTTGACCCAGTCTCCAGCACAGCCTGGGGATGGGGGTGTCCTGGTTATAGTGACAGGTCTTGGTTCTTCAGACAGAAATAGCTCTGGAGCCAATAAAAGGAGGTCAGCTCTGCCTCAATACCCCTACCTGCCCCCCTCCCAAGACCTCATTCTGTGGCTACCACAGCTGGGGGTACCAATACCACAACACACTTGGGGATGGCAACCTTCCTTTAGCAGATGGAGAAATGGGCCCCAAATTCCATTGAGGCCTTGCCCAAAACACATATCCTGTTGATGGCAGGGCTGGGGCTCTGGTCTTAGGTCCAGCCTCTTAAACCACCACGTTACATGAGGTGGGTGTCCTGTGCCTGAGGAGGTTCTTATTCTTTGGAAAAAACAGATGTAAAAAGTATTGGGGGGGAGGGGAGTTAAAAATGAGCCCTAAGGTCACAGGACCACCCTGGAAGACAAAGTATCTAGTTCATGGATCTCGGCTTTTTCAGATGGAGGATTTGATGGTCACTACTGGCTAACATGAGTGTGTTGGTTGTCCCTGTGTGTGTTTGAGATGCATTAGCCCTGCACTGCCCACTTGGGGGTCAGGTTCAACAGAAATGCACTATTGTTAGCACCCACAGAGACGAAGGCACCCCATCAATTACCGTCTTTACCTAAAGAAGGCTAACCCAACACACACGGTGAGAATGTGCATGTCTTCCAGGAGGCATGTATGGGAGCTTTTTACATGGCTTGGGAGAAGCCTAAACTGGCCCCCGTCAAGCTATCAATGTGTTTCAGAAGCTACCAGAAGAGTGACTTGGCAGGGTCCAGACTCATCTCAGCCAGAAACTTGAGCTCTGGGGAAATTGGAGAAGTCAGTTTAGCTGTCTGGATTCTATTTTGCTCTTCCAAGAATGGATGAAGGAGGCTTCACCAAATACAAAGCATAGGTTCAGAGGTACAGAGACTTTATAGCCAAAAGAAGGTTCACAGTGAAATGTCTGAATTGCTGCAATAAAGCCGGATAAATTCCTTTCACTGCAGGATTTTTCCATGCCTTGAAGAAGCCATTGTTTCTGAGAATGTCTTTCGAGGGTGGACAGACCCTTTTGGCACAGAACATTTTCTGGAATCAGCCAGGAAATAGCCAGGTGGTGGTCCAAGCCCTCTCCAGCACTGACCCAAGGGCTAGAGACTGGGCAGGCGGCCCTGGCCATAAAATCCTAGCCCTTCCCTTCTCCCTACCCACAAGGCCAGGACCTTTGTCCCCAATGTTTCTTGGATTGCTCTCTTCAGACACTGCCTGGCTCACCCCTACCTTTCTTCAGACCTCTCCCAAAGCCTGTCTTATCAGAGACTCTCACCTGATTTCAAATAGTTCTCCCTCCACGCCCCGCCCCAGGGCTAGAGTGCGGACCAGGTGCCTTCTCACTTCCCCTTCCTGTGCGTGCATGCATAAGACAGACATGTGCCCTGATTATTAAATACAGGCTGCGCATTAAAAAAATCAAAGAAAGAAAGAGATGGAAATAATGTGAAGTGCCTACAGCTTAGAAGAAGGAAGCGTTGTAGTAGCTGGCTGGTATTGGACTCAACTTTTCTCGGCACACAAAGATGCAGGGAGGAGGAAGAGAAGTGTATAAGTGAAGCGTTGCTATGATCAAGAAGTCTCTGTTGCAATCTGTTCCAGCCAGTAGCTCCCTCCTGGCCTCTCTGATCCCACACTGGTAGCCTGTTAGGCCCAGGTCACCACTCAGGTCCAGGGAGGGTCACTGTGGCCCAGGGCGCCACCCCCCACCTGCTCCAGGTCCCTGGTTTCTCGAGGAGTTGCCACTGCCAACCCTGGTCAGGGAGGGGCCACTCTGGGAGGATGTAGAGAGGCTCCCCACTTATACACAGTTTCCTAGAGAGCTCCTCCGGCAGGCCTCAAGAAGAGTTCTGCTGGCTCAGGCAGATGACCTGCTGCAAGCGAAAGACCGAGAATCCTGGGGGGCTCCTGGGCTCTTTCAATGTCCTGTTGCCTCCCCTTTCCCATGATAAGATATGAGTTACTAGCAACTTGGTATGCAAGTGATAACTACAAGGCCCACATGGCACCCCCTTTCCAAGTCGGTCTACATAGGGCCGAGAGACAGAAAGGCTGGCCTAGGAAAACCGGCAAGCAGGAGGCTTGGGCCTCCAGGGTGGTGAGAAATTCCAGTCCCCCAGTGAATAGGCCTGAGTGGGGGTTGGGACGGGAAGATGTGGCAGAGGGGTGATCACGCTGTGTTCCCAGGAGAGGGGGCCCCTCCGGCCCAGGTCATCACAGCCTGGGATGCAGCTACCTTAGTAGGCAGCTGGGTTTTCCTGATGCCTCTGGGGAGGCAAGGCCACAGCACAGGCAAGCTCATGCACTCAGTGGTAAAGGCGACAGCAAAGATGACATCCAGGCGTCTACAGACCATGGAATAAGGCTGGGTGTTACAATGTTGTCATTCAGCTAGAAGCTGGCTGCCACCATCTCTTGTAACACAAGGCCAGCCTCCAATCCAACTTTCCTAACATTCCATGGAAGGATTTATCTGCACAGCTCTGCCCGAATAATGCAAGAACTCTATCTCCCTACCTGTGACTCCTCAGACTGCCCTTCAATTTTAAAAGGATATTCCCACCACAGGGCCTTGCCTGTCTCGCCCCCACCACCCCAACAGCTGGATAGTTGGGGCCAGTCCCCGACAGAAAAGGAGAAAACCAGACTGTCCTTTTTAAAAGTTTTGCTTCTGGTAGTATGAGATGCGAGATGGGGTGATGTAAATTGTATTGTTGAAAAATAAATTTCACCTGAATAAATTTGGAGATCAAATTGGCTTCATCAAAGGATTCAGTGATGGGGCGGCACCTTGTCGGCAGGCCCTGCAAGGAGTTGCACAATGGAAAGTTTTTGTAGTCAGAGGGTTGGACAAGGTGAGAGGAAACAGGCTGTGTGACCAGCTGCCTCGGCGTGCGGGTGACCTCATTAGTGCAGGTGGGACCTTTGAAATGGAATGAGTTAAAAGTCCATTTTGGGCAGAGGCTAAAATTGCAACCAGGAGTTGGAATGAATTGACTCCATACA